CTGCCAATTCCCTTTGCCATTCTTACTGCACTCATTCCCTCCCATCATCTGCAACCTTGCACGCCATCTCCAACTAAGGCACATGATTCCTGAACAATCATATCTCTCTCCTATTTTCACATTTTTGCAATTTCTGTTATATCAAGCTAGAATCCCCTATTCCCATTCTTATAACATAGATTTACCAAACCTCTGTAAATGCTAAGTACACTGTTGTTTGTCTCTCAATACTCTTCATGACTGTGGGAAGATATATTTAAAATTTTTATACCCTCTAAATCCAACATAGTACTCAGTAAATATGTGATGAATGAGTGGATGAATGCTTGAATGTGTTACTAGGCTAAGATCCTAAGGCAAGGTAAAAATAAAGAAAAATAATTGTAAAATGATGGAGTCACTATGGAAAAGAGTTTGGAAGTTCCTCAAAACATTAAACATAGTTTCCATATGACTTAGTAATTCCACTCTTAGGTGTATACTTAAGAGAAATGAAAAGGTATGTCCTTATAAACACTTGTACACAAATATTCATACCAGTACTTTTCATAATATCCCCAAAGTGGAAACAATGAAAATGTCCATAAATGGATAAACAAAATGTGGTACAGCCATACAACAGATTATTATTTAGTAATAAAAAGAAATGAAGTACTCATGTATGTTATAACATGGATAAACTCTGAAAACATGCTAAGTGAAAGAAGCCAGACACAAAAGGTCACATATGATTCATGAAATATCCAAAATCAGCATAGAAACAGAAAGCAGATTTGTGGTTGCCAGTTGAGGAAAGAAGGGAGTGAGGAGTTATTGTTAATAATGGGTATAGAATGTTTTTTTGGAGTGATGAAATATTTTACAATTAGTGGTTATAGTTGCACAACAGTGAATATACCAAAGACCTCTCAATTGTATACTTTTGAAGGGTGATTTTCATAGAATGTGAATTATATGTCAATAAAGCTATTACTGGAAAATGAACACAATAATGAGAATCCTCTATTTGCTCCAGATTTTTAATCAGGGACTTGCTCTTTTAGGTCACAACATGGCCTAGAACTTCCTGATTTTCACAGTAATCAGTTACACAATTATAGAAATGTTGAAACATTGAAAGATCATTCTGAATTAATCCCTTCATCACCTTATAGGTAAGAAAACTGAGCTCCAACAAAGATAAATGACTTAAACAAGGTTATGCAAGTAGTAGTGGTTCCAGGGAAGACTCATTCTCAGTTCAATGATTCATCTTTTTTCTTAGCTGAACTGACATTTTCCTTACTAAAACTGTTCTTTTTATTGAAAGAAAAAAATACATTAAAAGGAAAGTAAGATCCATTTGTCTTTTGAAGTCGGAATAACTGTTACTAGATTGTAGGAAATACAGAGAAAAGGTTAAGAAAATAAACTGCACCTTCCTGTTTCTTTCGATGTGAAAACACAACTATTAGTTCTTAAAGGTTTTAAAGATAATACAACATAAGAATTCCCAGTAATAGTTAAAGATAGCAACAAAGACCACTCCTTCATTTAGAGGATAGAGACAGACTCTTAGCAAAGATGCTATGTATCTGGAAATTTGTACCTGATCCTTCAGAGAGATGTCAGATTTAATCCACAGGACAACGTCTTTCAGAATATCATTTTCTTAAATTCCCCTTTGAGACCCATTTTTTGTTGCCTTTGTCATAGTCAATGGCAGATTCAGGTGCACTAGGTAATGTCTGTGCTACTTACTCAGGAGATTTTCTATGGTAGCAAAGGTTTTCTTTGAAGTTCAAATTTGTTCTTTTCACCAAGCAGCAAGTTTTAAATGGAGGAATTTTTCATTTGATTAGACAAACACACAACCAAAAAAAAGCAAAAACAAAACATAAAACATAAGTGTCACTGAGAATTAAAAAAAATCATTATTAAATGTTGATCTTCAAAAGCTTATTGTACAAAACATCATTATATAACTCACAGTCAGAGGTTAATTCAGTGATGCTTTAGTCCACCATATCCACAACTGATGTCCACATGTACCTTAGGATAGTGTTTGACAGGGAGTGTGGGTAGTTGAAGGGAGCAGAATGGGAGGGAAGAAGTGGCCATAAAAGCAAATACTGTTACACACTCAACTTAGTTTAGGAAATTCTGGGTTAACTCAAAAAATACCTAACAAGCACCAACCTGTATCAGACTCTACTAGATGCTAGAACAAAACAGGTTTATGCTGGGATTTCTTAGAGGCTCTAACATGCTAGTGTTCATTCTGACTCTAAGGAGCGCATGTCCCAATTTGCTTTGAGAGCTCCAGTTTATAACTGTTGTTTCAGCATCAGTAGCACCCCCTTTCATTGTTCTCATCCCACCTATGACTCTCTCAGGGGTGAATATAGTGCACAGATGTGCCTAAACTTTAACGACCAATGAAATCCTTGTATCTACATTCCTATAGCCATTTCTAGAGCAGTGGTTCACAGAACATTGCTCAGGAAATGCTAATCTACTATATTCTCTTCATTTGATAACTAAGGAAACTGAGGATCAGAGAATTAAAGAGACTCAGCCAGAAAATGGCAGAGATGGGACGAAAGCCTAGGACTCTGGCCCCCATCTCTGATGTGCTTTCCAATGTATCACAGATGGCCATACTAAAATACACTTAACATGAAGTTTAAAAATCCTATTATTAGATAACAAGTATTAATGTATTTTCTCCTAAAATAAGTTATCCAATTTTACATGTTAACTTTAATTTTAATGGAGTCCAAGTCAGTTTTAAAAAAAATTGTAACAGTAGAATTCAAAATTGGAGTCACTGAAAAACATTATCTTGTAGTCAACTCTCCAGGTCTATAAGCCAAGTTCATTCATGTCCTATTATTTGTATTCTTTCCACTCACTCTCTGGTAAATAGGAGGTAACTGGTTTCTTCATATCTTCAAAGCATTGCTGGCTTTACAGATGTACGTTTGGTGGGGGGGTAGGAACAACAGGCTTTTCAGTACAGAATTTTGCTATGATATTTTACTCCCCTTTATGGTTCCAAGTGTCCTTTAAAGTAAGACTACTACTGTCTTGGGCCATTCGGTGCCTTTGAAAACTCTAAAGTGGTTAAAGTAAATATAATTCCTTTATTTTTTCTGAGTTTCTACATCCTTACTAACAGAGAGTATTTTTTTTATTTTGGCTGCACCAAAAGATATGCCCTTACAGAAAATCATGCAAAGGATTCTGCCTCTAAAAGTCAGAAATTCACATTTTGGGTCACACATGGCACTGTTGTTTCTAGGTAATTGTTATGCATTGAAGGAAACTTAGGTAGTTTAGAGAAGAAAGAGTGAATGATTAGACAAACTTTAAAAAGAAAGCTACATCTTATTAGTTAAGAAATACAAGTAGTCTTTTCTGTGGTGGGGTGAAAGGTAGAAAATATTAGTTAAAGCAGGGTTTAAGCTCTTGGGAAATTCATTTCAGTACAATACATCTTTCTGCTCATTTCGTAGAAAAAGAAATTAATATTCATTAAATCTTATGCAAGATAACTAGTCAAGTAGAAAGAAAGAAAATTACAAGGTGACTAAGGCAGAAGAATATTTCTAGAGAGAGTATTCTTGGACTTGGAGATAGATATTCTTCCTCGTCATCAGATTGGAAGCTGTGATTGCATTGCACCGCTTTGACTTTTGAAACACAGCACTCTCTTCTGTGATACAGAAAAAAAGGCTTCCCTATGATAATTTACCCTTTGAAGTAATGAACCTATTCAAGTCTAACTACTGTACTCAGTTAGAACCACCTGATGAAATAAAGGAATACAGGTATATTGATCACATCAAACATTTTCATTGAGAAGGTAACATGAGCATTCATACAGTTTATTGTGGATGGTCTCAGAAGCTTTCCTGTGTATGAGAAACAGAACCACAGGCCTTTTTGTATAAGTTCCTATATATCTTGTCCATGCTGTTCTCAAAGATGGGTCGGTGGGATTTTCCTTTATAAGAGGCTGCCCTGTTGGACCAGTATTCGCCATCATCAAAATGGAGAGTACCACGTGGCTGCTGAAATAAGCTATAAAAAAGGATTAAAAGATTAAAACTAGTGAAACTAAATGTGAGGTAGTACTATATAAATCAAATATTTACTGAGTAGTTAATGGGTATGGGCTACTCAAATAGTGACACTATTTGCATGAAATTACTACAAAACAATAAAATGAAAATCATGTGTCAAGAAACACAGTTAAAAAAGAATTCAGAGAAGAGAGAAAGGGCAGCATGGTAAAAGCAGAGCACAGACGGTGTGGTATGGCCAGTCACGCGAGCGCCCAGCCTCTGAAGTCAGGCAGACTTGGAATAGAATGACAGCTTACTCCTTAATAAAGCTGTGGGGTCTTAGGCAATTTATTTAATTGTCCAGTCTCAGCTTCCTTTGTTGTACTTTTGCAGTTTTTTAAACATCAGAGAAGGTATGTAAAGTACAGGGCTTACTTTGCACACAGAAGTGACTGAATATAAGGTACTGAACTACTATGTATATTTATATATTATATATACTTACATATTTTTATCAAAAAGTCTTATAACCTTCTGAAGTTCGAAACTGTGGAAACTGAGACTAAGTGAAATCAATGTGACTTGCCTAAGACTAATCAGCTAGTAAATGCCAGAATGGGATACTATGGCTGTGGCCCTAAGGCTTTCTACTATGGTATATTGCGATTGTCCTCAAGGAGTAGAAGAAAAGTAGACTGACTATGAACCACTTTTGGAAAATGGAGAATAAGAAAAAAGAATCTATATTTGAAGCGATAGGGATCCACTGTAATTCTGAGGGTTTTGAAGAGAAAAAAAAGAAAAAGAACAGGTAGGAAGCAAAGAAATAGGCCAGAACAAGGCTAGTTCTAATGGTAACAGGGAAGAAAAGGCAACTCTAAAGGCTTGAAAGCACTTTTTAAACATACTAAAGTTATAATTTTACTATCATTAAACATTAAGCTCTGGGCTTAACCTATCATTTGCTAGAAATAAAATGTTGACTTTTTCAAAGATGGAGCTTATTTTATTTTTCTAAATAAATAATTGACCTACTTCAATAAAACTAAGTACTTGTTATAGATAAGACATCTCAAGCATGTTAGAGATTATGAAATTTGTGCCATATAAAACTGTATGTCTTGGCTATTAAATGCTCCAAATATTTTCTTCATACATTTGAATCTCACTTCACACAAACAACTTCCTCCCTGCAATATCAGTCCCATGATGTTACTTCTATTGTCAGTTGTGAAACAGGAAATCTTGGAGTTGGGTATCTGTTAAGAAGAATTTGCTGTTTGGCTTGAAGTAAATCCCCCATGTGAACAAGTAAAATGACCACACACAAAAAAAAGGCATGGAGTGCCTGTGTTATCATTCTTAGAGCTTTATATGGTGTCAGTGAGGATATAAAGGAATGGAGAACATTTATACACCCACTTTGGAAAACAGTTTGGCATGACCCAATAAGGCTGAATATGCAACTTGGACCCAGTAATTCCACTCCTAGGAACACCAGCAAAATTCTTGCACATTTACTAGGAGACATGTACAAATATGTTCATAATAACACTCTTTATAATAGAGTTAAGAACTGGAAGCATCCTAAATATCCATCTATTAGAACACATAAATCAAATTGTGGTACACACATACAATGGTATAACATACAGTAGGGAACATTGATGATCTATAGCTACATGCATCAATATGGATGAAACTGAAAAGTCAACTGAATGAAAGGAAGCAAACTTCAAACAATATGAAGTTATATTTACATTATATAAAGCTTAAAACAAGGAAAATTAAATAATTTATTACTTAAGAATAGATATATGTGTGGTATAATTTTGAAGAAAAGAAAGGAGAAGAGTTAACAGAAAAGTCACAATTAACAGTTACCTCTTAGAAAGAGATGCAGTTGGTTAGGGGCACAAGGTGGCTTTATAGGTATTGGCTATATATTACATTTCTTAAGCTGGATAGTGAGTAAATGGGTATTCATTATTATTGTTGTTGTTTAAGATGTACAAACCTTAAATATATTTCTCTGTTACAGTTAATATATTTCATAGTAAGTTTTTAAAATTTCACTTCCATGAACCATGGCAATAGATCTTTAGTTTCTGATGACTTTGATAAAAAGGGATTCTGCCTCATATTTCCTAGCAATATTTACTAGATCCTGCCAAACATTCTTTACACTTGGTACCACCTCTTTCACACTCTAAAATTTTGAAAATGATACAATCTCTAGGGTAACTGTAGTATTTTAAAACATGATTATTATTAGTTCTATCTTTATATTGTCCTAAGAGGTAATTAAAACTATTTCTAATAATATCTGTATAAGCTTTAAAATTTTTTCAAAAAGCCTTAGCCAAGTCTCAGTGCTATTGCTTTGATAGTTACCAAATTTCCTTCATTAGCTTTGCTCAAGAAATAGCCATTAAATACAATTTCTTTCATACAATCTTACCAAGCTTAACTCCTGCTGTCACTTAAAACAGTTGGTCAATTTGAGTTACATAATAAGGAAATCACACATACCAATACATTAACAGTAAAACTTCTGCATGTACTCCATACCTCTGCAAACATATCTACCAGCCGAAGTTCCTCTATTTGCCTCTGCTCCCTCATACTTTTTCAGGAGTCCCACATGTTGTGTTTTATTCAGTTGGTTGTTTTGTTTTATTTTGTAGCAAGTCATGCACTAATTAAAACTTCTAAGACATGGATCTGTCCCTATCAACTTGCTTAATCAGCAAATTTACGGTATACTCATGGCCAGATAATATGTTCTTTTCTGAACTTTATATTTTGTTTAGTTGCCAGACTATAGACAATTACTATAGTACATAATAAACCTACTCAACAGAACTTTGAATTTCTAACACATACCACTACCCAATTCTCAGATTGGTAAGGAGAAGTAAAGCTAAATTTAAAAAGCATTGTGTAGGTTTTTCTGAGATTATAAACCAAATTCCAAATACCTATTATAAATTACCATATTTAATGTTATCAGGCATAGACTTGCTACTCCTTTGGTTCCATTAGACAATACATTTTTGTTCATGTCTCAAAACTGTCTTAAAATACCACCTCAGTGGCTTGCAATGAATAAATAAAATTCAGAAAGCTTTTTAGGAGCAATTGTGAATCTGATAAGGTTCTATAAAGAACAGCTAAAGTGGCCAAAATAGACATTCTACTGCTTTTAGAGCTTGTAAAATTTGGTAGGAAGTTTATTTATATTTAAATTGCAAACTTTTTCAATTGAGTAAACAGTATTATGGTTCTCTGGAGAAAATCTGGGAATTGCATCAGTCTAGAAGTAAATTGCAAAACAGAGATGTGAACACAAAACAGGTTCCAATATGGTCCACTGATAGGTGCAAAGAGTATTAGAATCCCAAAAACAATATTTACTTCCAGACATGGAAGCACTGGCTCTCTAATTAATGAACTGTGAACATATTGAGTCAGTTCTGAATCCCCATTACTGGGTATATTAATAAGTTTAAAATGTTAAGTGACACTAAAAAGTCTTTTATAGTATCTCTGGAATTCATTCACGCAAAGCACTTAGGGAGTTCCTACTATATATACTGTACAAAATACTGCAGGAGTACTATATACCTTAAAATGGTTACCTTCAAAGCAGGGATGATATTGTTATTTTATTATTGCAGTACATTTTTTTAAGCAGCTTATTCTTGAGAATTAAGTCAATTCTGAAACCCCATTAATGGGTATATTAATACGTTTAAATGTTAAAAGAAGACCAGGACAATATTTGAGAATTGGGCAGTTTCAAATCCTAAGTGATGATAAAATATAAATTATAATTTTATTTTTTAAAACCCACCATATATGCAGAGAAGAGAAAGGTCTTAGGTAGCTTGGCATGAACTAGGAGACAAAGGGCATGACTAGCTTTTTGCTTAGGAAAGGGTGACCTCACTTGAAACTCTGATGGTGTTTCTCTCCTCAGGAATCAAGTGAAGACCAAGCACATACTACTCTACAGTCATCAGACAAAATCTCTATAAGGTGATATACATGGAAAAGGTTAGAAAGTAATATGGATCTGCTACCCAAAGGATATTAATTCTAGGAAATATCTGGAAGGTCATGAGAATTTTAAAAATTGGCTATGTGACATTTGTACTCAAAGAACCAGAGTTGAAACTTACTTTTAAAGATAATTGATATTCTATACTTGAGACTTGTGATCTAAGAGTCAGTATAATCAAACATGTTTTATAATACAAGAAATTAATTCCTTCCCTAAAAAAGTTTCTGATCAAGCTAAACTTGGACTGACAAGACACATGAAATAATACTGAGGATGTGACATGTGCTCTATAGACATTGGATGGAGGGATAGAAGGTAGGAAATATTTGAAGTTTTGAAGTTCATGAAAGATGATAGGGAGAGATTTTATTATGGACTAACAAAATCTGAGAAGCATTTTGTATCTTTGAAGATACCATACAAAAATACAATGTCATAAGTTGTCATTAAAGACATCAAAATTGTGGCCCTAACTATATATTATTAGGTAGATAGACTGCTGACTAGGTGATGGCATGGAAAATATAATTAGCAGCAATCCCAAGTTATCTTTGGGAGTCATAATAAGTAATATTTCATGGCATTATGCTCAAATTGTAATTCTTTGAGTTTTAGTGATAATTGCCTTTAGAAATAAAAAAATGTTATTTTATTTAATGGGGTAAAACAAATATCTCACTGTACAACACATTAGGTCAGTTTCATGTCTAGTTTTTTTAACTGGAAGTATGTGGAATTCAATAATGAATAATGAAGTCTAGAAGTTTTGGAAGTAAAAGGTCATTTAACTCCTTGATAAGAGATTTCTTCCAAATTAATTTCATATTCAAAGGTGATGGAAGACACAGGACAACTAGCTAGCATGGATAGGCTGATGCCTGGATGATGAAATAATGAACACTCTAATTTCATATTTTGCTCTTCCTGCAGAAAATACTGGATATCATGGCTGACAACCACAATGTATATCTAGATTATAGAATAAAGTATTGAGTCCTGGGCATGCTTTTTGCTGAGGAAAACATGAAATAAATAATTTCTATTCCTTCATTAATATTCTCTATTTGATGAGTCATTGTCATTATACTTCCCTTTAATTGTTTAAATATGGTTTCCTTTAGTTCTTTGAACATTGATGCTCAATCCAACATCTGGGCCTCCTCAGAGATGGTAGCAACTCCTTTTTCATGTGCATATGTCACACTTTCCTATTTCTTTGTATCTCATAATTTTTGGTTGAAAACAACATTATAGATAAAAATTGCAGCAATTCTGAATTCTGATCTCCTTAGCAGAGTTGTTGCTGTTTTGGTTATTTGTTTAGTGACTTGCCTGGACAATACAGTCAAGTCTGCTTCTTGTGCACTGTGTAGTTGGTGGCATCTTTTGTTTCTTTTCTTTTTTTAAAACTATTGTTTCTATTTTTAGCCTGGTCTCCTAGGGGCTGCCCCTGGGTCAGCATAGCTTGGTGACCAACAAATGATTGGTCCTTGTAAATGAACCTGTAAGGCTTCCAACTTTTGCCAATGGACATATGTATGGCTTGGAGAATACACTCAAAGTCTATCCAGTTTACAAGTCAGCCCTGGAGTTTACTTTCTTCCTTCAAAGGTTCTCACGTTTGACCATGGATCAGTAGTTCCTTAAGACTCTCTCCAGTCTTTCCTGAACATATTTACAGACTTATGCATACACAAAATGTTACAGACTACCAGGGATACATATAACTTTATCAAGGCCAACTTTGGCTATCCTGACTGAATCTTTGTTGTCTGCCCCAACAATCAGTAGTATCTCAAGCTTTCCCTCATAGTTTGCCAGTGGGATCAGTAGTATTGTTTCTATTAGCTCCCTGTATAGGGAACTTCCCATGTTCTGCTTCATATAAAGTCAGTCCCTCTAGAGGCAGAGCTGCCAGTCTTTCAGCATGACTGCCCCAGGGCACTTTTGTGCCAAGGAACTGAGGGACAAGGAATAGGGAGGGGAGCTCCAGGCAAAATGCCACAGACTCCTACTGCTCTTATTGAGATTCAGTAGATTTTCTTGATAAACACTTCACAATTCGTTACATCTTTGGTCAATTTCCCGTCTTTAAATCATTGTTTTGACAATTCTGTCTAGTTTTGTTGTTGTTTTGGGGGGAGGATTTGCTGAGTTCATTACTCAGCCATACCAGAGTTCCACGCGGACCTTCTCTCAAGCCATGTCAATGCGTGTCTGCAGGGGGGTGATAGTAAGCCAAGAGCCCAAGCTCCCTCCTGACCTCTGCTGATGGAAGATTTAAGACAAGCATGTGATTGAGTGTAGGTTCTCTCATCTTTGAGAGGGAAATTGGAATGGGAGTGACTTCTTGGCCTAGTATATAATATGACTTGGGGATAAAACTAAAATAATACCCTGATCATTTCAGTAATCCCTCCTGATGTTAGCTTCTGGAGCTAATATCTGAAATACTCTTATGAAAGTCTACTCTTAAAAAATACTTTCATAAAAGTACTCTTGAAATACTGACCACTCTGTCCTATTGGTCAATGTATGCACACGAGAAAAATGGCAAAGAATGTAAACTAATCTCAAAAATGTGTAAATGGAACTTTTCTGATACTCTACTTAACTCTCTCTCTTGAAACCATCTTGAGTGACCAAAAGCCTGGCCATTAACATTGCTTGATAAAACGGAAAAGAGCCATACTGAGGTTTATGGTAAACTTTAAACAGAGACCAGTGCTTTCAAAATGTGTTCCTTATACTACCTGCATTAGAATCACCCATGATATTCTTTAAAAGGCAGATTTCTAGGACTCATCCCTAGATGTAAGGAACCAGAATCTATGGGCTTAAAAGTCAAAATATATATTTTTAAGAAGCAAGCCAGGTAACTATTTTGCATACAAAGTTTTTAAAATCAGATTCGTTTATCAACCTTACTCAATTCTCAACCATGCTAGAATTAATTATATGGATTAAGGACCCAAAATTGGGATGCTAATTCATATAGTAGCAATCTAGGTAACAGAACTTTGAGTAAAACAATAAATGCAAAAATTCTTGTTCCTCAAGGTGTTAACTTTCTTGGGCCTTCTTTTCCTGTTTGGATTGCTTCTTATTTAAAGCTACCTATAATATACTATTTACTTTGATGACAGGTCCAGGTTGATCTTAACTTTGTGAAAGGAGTACACAGTTATGCTCTGTGTAAGGGGCAAAAGGAAAATTCCTCACACATTCATAGAATGTCTAGCCTGGCTTACCAGGATAAAGAGCAGAGAGTTCAGTCCAAAACTTCAGTTAGCACATATTCCACTACTGGGAGCTTTTTTCTTATGCTTGTTTTTCAGGAAACTCATTAAGGTGGAGGCTATATAGTAATCAGTGGTACAGCACCAAAGATTCAGAGAACCTTTAGTTATATAAACTCACAATTTATATTCAGTTTTTAATACCATATTTTATAGTAATTGACACAGAGCTCTCAAATGTCTTTAAGGATTTGATAGTATAATCTTACAAAAATTTTATTACTAATATTTTTGAAATTTTAGGCTATAAGAACAGAATTTCTCTTATGTTATTAAAAAAAGGCTTACTCGTTGTAAACGGGGATGAAAAATACAGCATAGGGAGTATAGTCTACAATATTGTAATAACTTTGTGTGGTGACAGATTGTTAACTCACTTATTGTAGTGAGCATTTCATAATGTGTATAATTTTTGAATTATGTTGTACACCAGAAACTAATATAACATTACATATCAATTATATTTCAATTTAAAAAAGCTTACTCATGGCCTAAAATTATAGAAACGATGGTTTGCATAAGAATAAATTTATCATGAAATAATCTATGAATATGTGGATTTGCAGGACAGACAAATACACTGTAAATCTTAAGATGAAAGGTATCACCATTAATTGATTATATTTGTTTTCATTGAAAAACTGCGGTAATGCAAACAAGATATTTTAAAAGGGATTCATATAGTTAAAAATTTTAAATATCAATCAATAAATAATTATTAATTTGGGCCTAAATTTCCCACAAATCCAGATTAAAAGGCAGGTTATTTTTATACATACTCTGAGAAGATCTGTATAAACTGCATTAATCAAGCTCATACCTATACTCTGGGTCACTGTCGTAGGCAGAGTCTCTGTATAAAAAATCTCTTTTCAATTCCAGTTCATCATCTTTCTCTAGGTCTTTCTCATCCTGAAAAATTAAAGATTTCCATTAATTCACTTTATACTTATAATGATGCCTGTAGTTCTTTGGGAAATGTACTCCCCCAACCCATTATAAGAACTTGAATTAAATGCTTGGATTTCTTAGGAAAGAAGCAAAAGGGTAAGTGAGAATTAAGTATTCTGTTCAATAAAACAAATTCAGTTTTATTATATTTCTGTTAATACTGTTTATCAAAGACTAGACATCCAGTAGATGTTTCATGCATCAGTAAATGAATAGGAATAGGAAATGAATGGAAATAGAAAGACACTACAAAATGTCATCTGATGTTTGTATATCATACACATTGCTACATGAACTCCTAAAAAACTGTACCTGCACTCTGAAGAAAGTAGTATTTGTGAAAACTACATAGATCTAAGTTCTTTAACAGGTACCTATGGCTTACAAAAGCCAGTAACTTAGAATTATTAGTCGTAAGCCAAAATAAGCCACAAGAAGTAAAAATGAAAAACAAGGTAGTTGGAATCAAAATACATAGCTACTCCTCCTTCTGTGGCATCCTGTTCTTAACCTCTAACAGACACATTCAAGGGCATAAGAAATAGGATTTTAAAGAGATAGCTTTGTGAACTATAACATTCATGGTAATTATGTTCTTATATATAATAATTTAATATAATTGAGTATCAAATATCTTTCTCAACTGCTAGCCAATACCCTTGTTCCTTAGTCAAACAGGAACAGAAATAAAGAGAACTGATAAAAAAAGGAACCAGTGAGCATAAAAAGATTTTTATAAGGATAAGTATTAATAAGGGACTCACTGTATATAAGAAATCAGCTTAACAAAGATTATGAAGAAAAATTAATTTAAAAAATTGTTGATGGCATACAATCAGAAAGAGCATTCAGTTAAAAAATTTAAGCAATAAATATAGAGCAAGCTTAAAAATCACAGAAAATATGAATATATATTTATAATTATTGTAGCTTCTAGGTGAACTGAGCTCTTTTATCATCATGAAGTAACTCCATTTATTTCTATTAATGCTTTTTTCCCTTAACTTTTTTCGGTTTACTATTAATATAGTTACAATGGCTTTCTTTTAGTTAGTGCTTGGGTGGTACATATTTTTCAATCTTTCCTTATTATTAGGTTTTAGATCTTTTTCTTAAATAGCATGTAGCTGAATGTTGCTTATTTCTGTCCAGTCTGATAAGTCAATGAAGTGAAGCATTTACTCATTAATATCACATAAAATGCAATTGCCTGTAATGAGTGAGAAAGCCACTACAAAAGCAAGTGTAAGGGAAAAAAAAGCAATGTAATATGTTTTTAACCTTCAGAAATCGATTATGTTAAAAGAAGAAATGAATGAAAGAGATGTAAATAATACTGAGTTTTTAAATTGTATCCTGGGGAAAAGTTATTAATTGCTAGATTACGTAATAAGTGAAATGAGACATAAAACAATATTCCTCATTTAATTTTATCAATAAAGTTGAGAAAATTAATTTTATCCAGGCAGGAGTAATAAAAAAATGTTGACTACATTTTTAAAGTTTATATATGAAAAGATATATAAAATTACCTTTAAAAAAGCCTGAATCTCACTTATTCATTAAATAAAATCCCTCTTTTGAGTTGGATACTTTCTATCCTGGGCTCTGAGGACAGAGAGATGACTAAGACATGGTTCCTGCACACATGTGGAACAGGTTTTTTTTATGAAGCTCAATGAGTAGAATGGACCAAAGGGTAAAATTATTAGGAGACATATGGGAGGACAAAATAAGGAAGAAGTTTTTAAGTAATGGAGCATTCTAAAAACAGAACTGTCTGTTTCAGATCATAAGATTGCAATCACTAAACTATTCATGCAGAGTACTGATACCCATCTAGATCAAGGATTTCATGAGGGGAATTCTTCCCCAAGAAACAAAAAGGACTAGAATAAACCTTTAATGTTTATTCCTTTCAAATTTTAAGACTATATTTTGTGACATTATTTATACATTCAAGACACACGGTCTTTTTTTTTAAAGATAGAGTTATACAAAAGCAAAGAGGCAACAAACATCACACTTCATTATAAGCTCTTAACTATGGGTAAAGCAAGCATTTAAAGAGATGTATCATTCTTGTTAGCGCCAGAAAATACATTCCTAGGGCATGGAGAAATGATTCCCTTCTTATTCCTCACCAATGCTCCCACTTGCCAGGATGTAAATATAGAAAAAGATGGATGACACCCAGATTTGCTGAGTTCCTTCTAGGTATTTGGGATCAAGTTAGGTGCTTTTTGTGTGGATATCATTTAAACCTTCAATAACCTCATGAAAATGATACTGAAACTCAAAATAAATAAATAAATAACTTGCCCAAAGAGCAAGTTACTGTGGCAGATTTCACTTGACTAATATTATATTGCCTCTGGACTATGAATGCAATATATTCTGGACTATGAAATCAAAACCACCTTCTCAAGTCATTAGATTTTTCTCTTAAATGCAAATTATTGACTCAAGCTCTTTTAAAAGCTATTATCTATTTAGACTGTTTTGTATGAGGGTATTCTGAAATAATATAGCCCAGAAGAAATATTTTCAGGATTTCCATGAAGAAACATTTTTTTTTCAGCAAAAGTCAACAACAAATGAAATGTTATTAAAGGAAGCTTTGGGACTCTCCTTCCCTGAAATTGGCACTAAGTTAAAATTCCTCTTTAGAGTCCTTTCATCAATGATCACTATTTTATGCACATGTAACTGATATTACACATAGAATAACTCTAGGACAAAGAAATAAAATGTATCCTCATGCTTGCAAAGTGAAAAATTTAGAACAAAAGTGGTTAAATAGCCTGAAACAAAGCCAGAACAAAGGGCAGCAACTTCACTAATTACATAGTATTTAAATAAAATATACACCTGTTATTCTCAAACAAATGTAATTCTCGTATGGAGTTAAAAACTCTGTAAGATGTATCTTATTGCAATCAAATTCAAAACATAATTTGTAAGTAACTGTATAAGGATAAGAATTCAAATAGAATTGATCACTAATTCTAATTTGCATTATCACTCTAGACAAATCACTTAACCCTAACAGCTTTAATTTCCTAATTCATAGCATAGAGAAAATTTAGAGAGTGCTTGAGCTCAGGTCTTTCTAATTCTATAACTTGGTTTATATTATAAGTGTAATAGAGGATAATAAAGTCTAAAGGGAAGATTGCCTAACCCTTAAATGGTAACTTTGACAAGTTGCTAGAGGCAGTGTGAAAAGGCATATGTGGTGGTTAACTTTATGTGTGTTTCAGCCATCATGCTCAGATATTTGGCTAAACATTATTCTGGATGTTTCTTGAAGCTTTTATGGATGAGATTAACATTTAAATTGATAGACTATGCATAAAGCATATTGCCCTCCATAATGTGGGTAGGCTTCTTCCAGTCAACTGAAGGACTTTATAGAACAGAGACTGGTTTTCCTCCACGAAAGAAAAAATTCTGCCAAGAGACTGTCTTTGGGGTCAAACTTTAATTCTTCCTCTGAGTATTGAGCCTGACAGCCTATCCCATCAGATTCTGGACTCACCAAGCCTCCACAATTGTGTGAGCCAGTTCTTTAAAATTTCTCTCTCTTACTCTCTCAATCTATGTATGTGTGTATAAATGTGAGTGTACACATATGCATGTATACATATATTCTGCTGCTTCTGTTTCTCTGGAGAACCCTAATACAGTCCAAGAATGAGAAACTTCTGCAACATATTAGTTACATACTTCAATACTTCACTTTTAACAATGGATAGAAAAATCAGACAGAAGATCAACAAGGAAATGAACTTAAACAGAACTATAAACCAGCCAGATTTAACAGGCATCTATAGAACACTCTCAACAGCAGAATATACATTCTCCTTAAGTATACGTGGGAAATCCTCCAAGAGAGACCACATGTTAGCCTATGACATGAGTCTCAATAAATTTAAAAGGGCAGAAATCATACAGTGTTATCTGGCTACAATGAAATGAAATTAGCAAACTAAATTCATTACTGAAAACAGAAATCCTCCAAGAGAGACCACATGTTAGCCTATGACATGAGTCTCAATAAATTTAAAAGGGCAGAAATCATACAGTGTTATCTGGCTACAATGAAATGAAATTAGCAAACTAAATTCATTACTGAAAACTATCCTATGAAGATGGGCTTATTTATTTAAAACATTTAAGAAATAATTTATACAAACTCTTGCAGAGAATGATTGGGAATATTTCCCAATTCATTTATTTGAAGCCAGCCAAAACCTGAGGAGGACAGTAAAAGGAAGGAAACCTACAGAACAATCACTATCATTAATTTAGATATAAAAATCCTAGGTAAAATATTAGCAAATTAAAACCAGTTATAGAAATATTTTTAAAAATTATGACAGTTTTGCTCTAAGCATGTAAGCATGGTTTAACACTTGAATATCAAGTAACTCATAACATTAAGAAAAGCATAAAATCACCTCAAAGATGTAATGTGATAAAACTACATTTGTAGTAAAAAATATAAACTCTTAGAAAATAAGGAATAGAAGGAATTTACATAATCTGACAAAGAATACCCACAAAAAATCTATAGCATCATACTTAATGTTGAATTACAAAAAGTTTTCCTCTTTGGATGTCAAATAATACAGGATGTCCTCTTTCACTACTTCTATTTGATATTGTTTTAGAAATCCTACATCATGTAATAACACAAGAAAAATAAATAAAAAGCATAAATATTTGACAGGGAGAAATAAAAATGTCTTTATAGATTATATGATTATATCCCCAAACTACCATCTATTACAATATAGATGGAAGGAAGTCACTGGATACAAAGTCACAAAATCTACAAAAACCTATAAGTCCTTATACCAACAACAAATAGGAGGTAGAATTTTAAAAGATACAATTTATAACAGAATAAAAATATCAAGTGTGTTGGGATAAATCTACTCAAAGATGTACACTTC